ACAGCCAGTCTGTAGCTTAGAGCTTGTTCCGGTTTGGGTAGTGTCACGTGGTTGGGGAAAATCCCCGCAAACCGGCGTAGGTCGGCCCCGGATCTCGCTATCCAGTAGGCGAAAATTTCTGCCACCTCCCGCTATTAAAACGTGCACTACACTTATGAGACTAATAACCTTAGCAGTGGACGCGCCCGAAATCACTATTCATTCAATCGAGGTGCTCTTTCCATTCCGTGAAATGATCTTTCGGAATGATCATTCCTTTGAACAAACTAAAGGTATTTATGAAAATGCGACATCTGCTATATTATTAAGCTGACTTTATTTGAGTAAAAAAAATAAAGAAAAAATGGGAGCCGTTTTTGAGAAAATCTTGTTTATGTAGATCTTAAATGCCACGATTTCAATCGAAATTGCGAGAAAACTACTAATTTAAAAAAATTGCTTGTGACAATATTTATTTATCTAATTTAGAACATATTTCATTAAGAAAATAATCTTTAATCTTCAATAGAACGTCGAAAACATTTTGAATTTCACAATTTTCAAAGATTCGGTAGTTGTACTGAAAACCGGACCCACGACAGTTTTATAACGTTTTTTTTTTCTTTTGGAGCAAAAAAAAATTGAAGCCTTTTTTTTAGAAATTGTCGAAAATGACGTAGGGGCTTCATATAATGTATCCCCAAAATTAAAATATCCATTCTCCTTACCTCTCAAAATTCGAGGGGCCACAACGCCTAGTCAATCTGACAATATCACTTTTGTTGAAAATCCCTTTTTACGGTTTAAGGTTTTGATGGGTAATTGAAATAGTTCGATGTATGCTAATCTTGTAATGTAAATAATTAGAACTAATATTCCTCTTAGGAATATTGCGAATAGGATATAAGAGAATCAGAATGAGTGTAAAATAGACCCTGTGATCAGATATATTATTGTTTTAATAATAATTAGTAAGGTGATAGCTAGGGGATGAATTATTGTAGAGAAGAAAATGTTGATTATTAATATTATGAATATATGTGTAATGATAAATAACAGCGGATATTTTAAATAAAATGTTAATTTTATTAGTTTTTCTCTGAAGTTTTCAAATGTGTTTAATTTTGGTTTACAAAACCAATGTGTTATTTTAAACCATTAAAACTTTGCATTTTTCTTTAGTCAATGGTGATGTTTTGTTATGAATATTCACGCATTTGAAATTGGTCGAACTCGCACGTACCTGTTTTACCCGTTTGTAAAATAAATATCTATTTTAATTTATTTTCGTAATATTTTCAAGTAGAACGTAAAACAGCGTATTGCTCCGGCATCTCTCCAGGTCAGTTACCACCGTTCCACGGCGCGTGCGCATTATTTCTCACGCATATTCTTTGTCCTACTTCCCAGTGTCTGGGATTTGTATTAGAAGCCATGTATAAGTTAAAAATAATTTTTACTGCATTTTTTACTGTTAAAAATCTTTCTTACTGCAATTTTAATGTGGAATTGTGCAATTAAAATTTCCGCGACTTTATTTTCGATGTTTTGAACGTTACCTTGTCAAATTTGAAACGATTCGGAGTGTTTATTTCCCGGATGTTCTTCCACGCAATTATCGGGTGCTTGCTATGTATTTCTTTATCTCGGTGTTTCGTGAAGTATCTTCATGAATTTTTTACCATTGAAAATTGTGAAGTATCTTTACTAATTTTAAATTCTTCAGTTGACTAATAATGGCGTTTCACTTGTCTTATGCGCCAACGATATGTGGAAAAAATGTTAGTATATCAACATTTTTATTTTGAAACGGTTAAAATATACGTTCTACGTCCAAACTATTCAGGAACAAATGCTGCTATTGTGCTGGATCTCTAGCGCCTGTTATATTTAAACTCGTTATTCCTTGTAAGAGGCACCACCGTTGTTCTTAATAATAATAATAATAATAATAATAATAATAATAATAATAATAATAATAATAATAATAATAAATAATAATAATGTCTTTATTAATGGCCGAGGCTCAGGCCCTAGGGCCCTGCCTCTGCCGCCTAACCACTGAAATTTACCATAGTAACATTTAGGGATAAGTACATTTTAAGAGGGATGACAAGGTCTGTACATGTTACGTCTGGCACGACAACACGCAGTGGACCCATCCCGGCGCATACGCCTTATAGCGATATTGAGTAAACCCAGAAAACCTCAATCCAGGACGGCGGCCTTAGGGCCAACATTAAAGTACTGGAGTCAAGGTTGTACATAGTAGTGACCAAGGAAGTTTCTAATAAAGAGAGAAAGAAGAGACGTTCAGCCGGAAAGGGGTCTAAAATTAAAAAATGACTAGATTTCGTGAGGAAGAGGCGAAGAAGAAAAGAGAAGCGAAGAAAAGGACCGAAGAAGAAGTAGGCGAAAAACAGTGACAGCTTATTTGAAGAACGTTAGAGAAAGCTACCGTTTAGTTCTACGGTAGTTTCTTCTCACATAAATATACAATAATTTTAACACCCAAAGAAAGGCACAATACACCTGTAAGGCAAATGCAAACAGCCAGTAATTTTTTGAACACCCAATACTGGCCAGTACTAATAGGAACAATACAAAAGAGGCTGGTATCTAAAACATCAATTTTGTTTATGCCAAATATATTGTAGTAAATATCCCCTGATGGTTACAAGGATAGCCTCACAAGTACTATTTATCATCTGGAAACGTCACTAATACTTTTGCTATATTTTAATCAACATTTTCCGTTAGGCGGTACACAGATAAAAAGTAAGGTGATGCTCACTAAATTAGAGTGTGACGAGGGAATGAAAGATGAAGGAATAGAGCAATGAGGTATGGTAGAATATGAGAATAAAGAGGAGGAAATATAAGGTTTTTTAACGAGGAGCGGGTTGACCGGCCGCTTGGACCAGTTGGAGACGAAGTCTGGAGATTGAAAAGACGTTGACGCCGTTCTATTGCCGTTATCCTTACCCATGTGGTTTAATTCAGCTTTGAATTTTTCCCCGAAAGTGCTTTAAATGCTTATTATCTCGGGCTGCGTAATTTATTCCAGGCTCGGATAGCTGTTAATGGTGAATGATTTTACTGAATCGCAAGTCGTGTTGGAAACGTGGCGTACACAGAAAGCAGGGCTGATTTACCGAGGCTCGAATTTAGTTTCAGAGGATTGAAAGTTACTTATGAGGCGTGTTGCATGAGAACCGGTTAAAACTTTATAAAGAAGAAGTAGAGAGTGTAGTGCGAGAAGTAGAGAGTGTGAGAGTGTGTTCTTTGTAGTGCCGTTTGGATAATTTTAATTGGTTCTGTAATAATAAATTGATTGTAAATTATGGACATTGTCATCGATTTTTCAAACTCTCCTTTCAATTGTAGAAATTTGTTTATGTTCGATCAAGGCTTTTTCTGACTTAGCAATTCACTCATAAATTAACTTGAACATTAATTTGATGAATTTATTGCAAATTTAACACGGGTATGTTTTCAAGATCCTTGCCAAATTGGTTAATAAGCATTCAACTCTATCTGTAAGCTGAGATTATGTTAATGTCATCCGCGCCTGATGTCGCCTAATATTCTAGGTAAATTCAATTAATTGATTTGAGTGATCATGCACACGATCAATATTGAATCATCACGCATTGTTGAATGATCACGCATTGTTAGATGGCAGAAACAAATTGTATGAACAATCCTCGTGTCGTTATCCAGTTTACATTTGATTTTTTTTTAACTCATTGTGATTACTGGACAGAAGTGAATTAATCCATACTAAAGCTCTGCCTAGGGTCCCTCAATAATTTGTTTAATAAACTTTTTAAAAGTTCATAAATATGCAAAATATTGTCCTACTAAAGTTTCAAATTGCAAAAGCTGTGATTTATTTTATATTAATTTTGATTACGTATATTCCATATTTCTGTGTTATGAGGCCCTTTAATTTTGGCATGTTTAGGGTCCCTGAATATCATCCGGTCCTGATGCTGGAAATATAACTACTGTGATTTGCATGTCATGTGTTCCTGTGAAACAGGAACTTTTTCTATTCATACACGTAAATGACGCTCTACCATCATTTATTTATTTCTCGACAGCTTATCAATAGTTACCATTTTTGTGCAATATTCTATAATTATAATACTTGGTCCGAAAATGGAAACTTCGCTTTTAAGACCATACGTGTAAAAAAGTGAAGTATTCTCTGCTGCGTAAATTGTTTTCACAATACCTGGGAATATAATAACTCTCACGTCTTACGTTTAATATATAAATGTAAGTTATTCATAATTTTATTGTTTAATATGTAATAAAGAACATCCGTTAATTGCTTCTCAGTGTATCCAACACCCAGGAGCTATTGTGGTTTTCGTGTTTCCCAGTAGTTCCGGGTATGTAGGCGAATGCTGAAAGAGCACCTAATTTAGTAGCATAGCAGCTCTTGTACTGCCATTTTTATTGACGTAATTATTGATTATTTCCTTCGGAAGACTGAAAACATGCTTCTTGTACTCTTTAAGCCATACATAATATACTGATAACGTAAATTGTGTTAAAGAACTTGATTTTAGTGTTAATGGTAACTGATTTTTTGCTGTTGTAATTAAGGTTTTGAGTACGAAGAGTTTAAAAATAAACGTAGATTTTTTACTTAATTGTGATGTTAATGAATTTGATTATGTACGTTTGTGTATTTCAAAATAAAATGAATAGTGTACTGAAACAGTTTTAAGAGGTTATTGTTAAATTCAGTGGTAATTATCGCCGTTCTTTTCATTAAAATATGCCTATGTACTTATGTGGTATACACGTTACCAGATTCTTTTTATTTTTAATATCTTATTTTCTTAACCCGAAACAGAAAATTTGTCGTATACAAATGCAAATTTAGCTTAATACGTATCAGTAATACGTATTCAGTATCTAGTGATAGCACTTGAAATTCAGACGGAGATGAAGTCTCCGTGGGAGAAAGGATTCAATCAATAGCCAGTTCTTTGCCTGCGCGACCCCGACGCAGCGGTGGCGGCTCCGCTTTCAACGTAGGTCTGTGGTGGGGACAAAGGATGCAAACCGGACCGTTCCGTGCAGCGTGCACAGACTGCTGGGAAGTAATGCAGGAGAGGTGTTTTCGGCGTTGTGGGCACCATTGCCAAGTTTTCGGGAGACGGGATACATCTCAGTTTTGGGGGCGGCTTGTACGAATATTTAAAAAATAACTGCGGTGGATCAACACAGGGTTGTTGGATCAACATAGAGCCACTGCAATCACGTTGTGTCATAAAATGACCTTATGTGCAGGAAGGTTGGTGTTTCCCTGTTAACAATACCCATTTCCTTTCTTAGTTGACCTGCCATGGTTACTACTTCCACGCAGATTTATACATGTGGCCTTGTAATTGAGCAGAAAATGCAATGCAAAGCAATGAAATGTCCCAGTTGTATATTAATTCACAATGAGTTTCCAGGGGAGGTAAAAGAGGGTTACAGTAAGCTTCGCAATGCAGCTGAATCGAGCGGTTAGTTAGTCATTATATGCTTTTGCTGTGGATTATAGTGAGAAATTGAGAACAACTTGTTCCAAAATTTAAAAAGGTGAAAAAATAATAATAATGAAATGTAATGAGAATTATTTTTTTCTATATCATTATTGTGATCATCACGTTCTCCAGTAATTTTTAAAAGAAGTGAATGAAGAAGTCATTGCTATTATTTGAAATGGGATCATTGCTAAATTTATTTTGGTTTCTAAGATAATTTTTTAAGTACTTTTATTATCTTTTTTACTGTTTTTTTTCTGTAGTGAACAACCATATTTTGAAAAATGGGTGCTTATTTTTGTAAACATAATCCAACTCCATTATTTAATAATATTAGTTGAAAGTGCTGATTTCTGTACTTTACAAGAAACAAAGGTGTATTACATAATGACTGGTCAACCTACAAAAAAATTAACCAGTCTTAAATACCAGATAGGCTACTTATAGAAAACAAATATCAAAGTAAACCCATTTCTTTTATAGAAAACTAATTCTTATTGAATGTTCATGATATTTTATAGCATGGAATTATTTTTTATAATGGGTTTGCGTTAACAATAAATTATTTCTGTAAGAGTAGTGACATCACATTTATATTTGTCATTAATATATTTATGACAATCTTTTGATATTTATTTTTTGTGGTGAATAGAGGGCAATGAATAGGGAGAGCAGAAATTATATTTTATTTCCTAAATAAGAATTTTTTTAACAATTCCTAATGAATTTTGGTAAAATAAAATGTTTTTCATTGCTAATGCTACTAAGAAATAGGTTAATTACAGTAATTGATTGTATTGCACAATTGCATATTTGAGGAAGTGCAGTATTTACAAATGCTTCTTTTGTTTTTCTTTGTGGAGTAACGAATCCTGCATGTTCCACCATTGACTGAAATTTGTTTTGAGAGAAAGGTAAATAAATATTTTTTTATATTTAGGAAAACAGTTGAGAATTGTATAGTAGGGCTTCCCAGAACAAAGTCTCAGAAGAAATATTTTTTGATTTATAATATAGGCTATAAAATTAAAGATGTGTGTATGTCAGTTTTTTCATTAGGAGCACTGCTTGGAAAATTTCTATTGTTGAAAGGGTGATTTAGTTAATTTTTTCTTCTTGTAGCCCTCCTGGTGATTTGGAAGAAGGTGAAATTGAAGATGGAGAATTGCCTGATGAAGAAGGAGATGCAGACACATCAAATCCTCCAAAGGCAAAAATTGAACAGCCTTCAATTTCACCTATTTCCTCCCATCGTCCCAGTCTGAAGACTGACAAGCAAGTAGAAAGAATTGACAAAATCAGTGAACCAGTGGGTCGCATGAGCAGGAGAAAAGCGCTTCAGCTTAATGCAGACAGGAATAATGAACAAGAAGAAGAATGGGCATGTGTGGTAGAAAAGAAACTAAAGGCTGCTATGGGAAAAGATATAAATGAAACGGTTAATGGCAACCCAAATGCTAGTACCTCAGAAAAACTAGTTTCTACTGATGATGATAAGAGAAACAGGCGAAAGAAGCGCAAAAAGAAACACAAAGATGATGACGATGATGATCGAAAGGAAGCAAAGGTTTGTTTTTTGTAGTTTTTAGAAAATTTAATGGAAATTCTACTTAATTATTAACAAAAATTCCTGAAATAAATATTTGTTAAAGGGAAGTTAAATATTTAGTGTTATTATTTATCTTTATTAATTCTGTGGTCACAGGGTAAAAGTTCTTAAGTTCATAGAGTTACTTAAAAATTGTACCTTGTGGTCACAGAACTTTTTAATCTCTATAGTTAAAATATTGCTTGGATTTGTGTGCTTGAATGCATCTTCATGCATTCAATTGCTTTTGTTTGTTTTAAAGAAACGAAAGAAAAGTCATCATTGGGAGGGCGATGATGGACCTGATGCTGGAACAAAAGAGAAACGTCATGAAGGTGAAGATGGAGAAGAAGATGATGATGAAATGTTATTTGTCAGAGGAGCATCTCCAATTATGAAAGAAAATTTTGGAGGAACTGAAGAAAGTCCCAAAACTAAATATCCTGAGAAAGGATTCCCATTCAATCAGCAAGGTAAGATATACTTAAATATACAAGGAAAAATAACTGTTATTAAATCAGATAAAAATATTTTTACATTAAAGTGTCTTTGTATTCATTGACTTGTAATGTTCATAAATGTGTTTCTCATATTCTCATGAATGTTTAAATAAATACAGGTGGTTTTGATGAATCATATGACTCTTTCAATGAAGAAGAGTCAGATTTTGATGCAAGAGAGGACTTTGGAAGACATAATCCACCATTAAGTGATGACGATGCCCCCAAGAGAGGACTGGGCAGAGGAGCAAAACGAAGACAAAGAACAGTTGGCAGAGTTATACCTCCTAATAAGCGACAAACAAGAAAAGATACCAAAAGTAAAAGGGGTGGAATAAAAAGACAACAATCTGCTAGAAATAATTCTGAGCGGGAACCTAACGTCTGTATGTTTTACATGCAGGGAAAATGCCAGAAGGTTGGTTTAGCTTTAATAGATATTTCTTCTTTATTTACATATTTATTGATACTTTTTTAAATTCCATTTTGTTTATTACTTACTTGTTTATTATTATTATTATTATTATTATTATTATTATTATTATTTATTATTAAATGTTAGTGGTTCTATTTTTTAGGGGGACGATTGCCCTTATTCTCATAATGCTTGCCCTCCTCGAAAGATGGAACTGTGCAAATTTTATTTGATGGATTGTTGTGCAAAAAAAGACAAATGTTTATACATGCATCATGATTTTCCTTGCAAATTTTTCCATACTGGATTGAAATGTTTTTCTGGACCAAGATGCAAATTTAGCCATGGGCATTTATCTGATCAAATGAGGAGTATCTTATTGAAAGTAAGTATATTTTCCTACCATTATTTTTTTTGTAAAAAATATAAAGTAAAAAAAGTAATCATTGCATGTTTTATGCAATATTCCATTTAGAACTTTATGTAAATGTTCATTATTCTCCATATGAGTAGTATAAAATGAAGAAAATGCCTTTTTTGGTATAGTTGCAGACTGCAGTAAATTAAATAACTAGTAATTTGTAGTATGTTAATCCATCAGATTAAGTTAAGGGGGTACAGTTTTTGTATAGAATTACTTTTAAATTACACATGCAGTCCAACATATAGTCTTGGATTGAAACAAAGTGGGTGACGACCAACTGAGGGAGATGGAAAATTTTGTCGAAGTCCTATGTTCCTCATGAGGAACGCCAGAAGATGACAGTGTTGTCAATCATTTTTAGGGTACCGAAGGAAACCGTCATATTGAGCAGCGATTGTCCAACCGTTCATCTGTCCCCTCGCAAGAGCATAGAAGCAAGGTCTGTAGATGTTTTTGTGCTGGTAACCACCATCTAGAGACCTTTTACATGGAGGTCATATTTATTTAAAAAGGTGGATTTAAAAATGAAAACTTGCGAGTAATGAAAAGTCATGTAAAATGATTTTGTGCATATTTTACATAGGCTAATTATATAAAATCTTAATACATAGATTTTTAAGTATGGTCTCTGCAAGTATATTATTGTGTAAAATAGAATAGTTTGAAAAATTATTTTCTTTTTATAAATAAAAAGACAAAAAGTCCCTTTAAATCATTAAACAGATTTTTTTTATAAATTTTGATTTTGAGAGTTAAATTTTGCACTTTTGGTTAAGAAAATTCTTATTAAAATGTAAATATTATCAATTGAAACCTTTCAGTGATTAAGGTTGAACAACAATAAATGAAAATTGTATCATGCAATTTATTGATTTGGTTTCATGTTCTTTAGATTCAAAATCCTTTATAAGTATATTATTTTCTGAACTGTTGTAAATTTCTCAATTACTATTTTTATAAAATATTTTCATTTTAATTCAAAGTTTTCATTTTCTTCTTTTATATGTATGTGAAAAATGCACAAAATATTCACTTTGTTTTGCACATTGTAAATCTGTAAATAAAATTATTTTAGTGAACATCAAAACTAGGTAGACCTAATTTGCTTTAAAATGTGCATGCACTGATTATGGAACAGATTGAAACTTGCAGTGATCATTAGTTATCTATATATAATCCAGCCCCAGGTTGGACTGTTACAAATATCACTTTTTCTTATTCCTCCTACTTTTTTATTCTTTTGAACATAATCCTCCTGCCTATTTACCAGCCTCCTTTTTCTGACCTTGTTTATTTTAGGATTAATATAAGTAGAAAATAGACCTATAATTTTTAAAATAGATATCTCTAGTCACATAACATGGTTTAAGCACTTTTGTATGAATAGACGAGTGTGTGTGATTGTGTGTGGATGTATGCATGTTTTAGTATATAAAATTTATTGTTCACACAAACATACCAATACATACATACACTTGCACACAAATACACACACATTCATAAACATGTACATATCCCCTCACTCACATACATATTAACATACTTCATTCATACATACATGCACATACACACACACATTTGTTTATGTTAAGAGTGTTCATTTTTCTGGCAAGCATATGTAATATAATTTTTTATGAATTTGAATGAAGGCTGGAATTGAGGACATTATAACTGCTTATTTTCAAAAATGGTTTAATAATATTTTGAAAGATTTTAAATTATTTTAATTACTCGGTATTCTGCTATCACATTGTGGTAGTTTGCTTTAAATAATTTAATAATCTTTATTATTTGTTTCAAGAGAATGATTAATAATTCTGCTTTACATTGAATTGATATGCTTGCTACTGTAGTTGTGTAAATGATTTTTGATCTTGCAGAAAGTTCGTCACTGTTGTAACTCATGACTAGATCCATTTTTGTGAGTTCATTTATAGAAATTACTCTCTTTGGAATATGTATCACATAAGCCTCTTTGGAATTTGTGTAAAGTTATAAGTATTATTGTGTAGATCATATCATTGTGGCTCTTTCTATAATGAGGTAAACTTGAAGAAATTTGGCAAAAGAAAGTAATCTTGTGAAAATAGATAAAAGTTGTTATTAAGCTTCTCAGCTTTAAAGATAATTATTTATTCTTCAGCATCAAGGAAAACTATTAAACAATCATGATCTTATTTTCTGATACCTTTTGCTTACAACATTCTCTGCAAGCTAGTCGATCATCTCTGCAAACTAGGAGCTGCTGTGAAAATACAAATAATAGCGGACAATCTAGAAGTTCAATTGTGTTGTGAAAAGTACTGTACGAGGCATAATAATTTTTAAACATGAAGTACGTTTATGAACAATAAATGAAATGAACTTTACTTGAGCAGTAAATTAATTCCCAAAGATTCTTCATACTTTCATGTACTGGAATACTTGATATTCATCAATTGAAGCATCAAGTAAAATGTATAATAGTACATCAGTGAAAAGCATCTTGAAAAACTGACCAGAAAATCACAATTGCATTGTTTTTGTTTTTAATTTGACAGCTGAAAATTGACAGTCTGGCCTCAATATAAATAATGAACATTTTAAGTGAAGAATGAAGTTACCTGTTTTATTCCAATGAAAACCTGTTCACAAACACCCTTTCAATTATTTAAACTTAAACATCCATTTTCTTTCCCTTTGCTTTCTTTTCCCTTTTTCATTTTTAAATTTTCCTTTCTTGCTCTATCTTCTATTTTTTCTGGTGGTCTGTTGTATCTTTTATTTGCATGTTTTTTTATTCCTTCGTCTTCCTTTCTATCTAATTATCTACATGGGTAATTTAATTTTCATTCATTAATGTTCAAAATCCTACCTCTTCATTGAACATGTTCTCACCTCGTAATAATTTTACTGTGACAGGTTATTTCATAATTTTTAAAAACTTTTCTTAATTCACTTCTATTATAAATTCTTTCCTTCATTGAACCTCTCCTACATTATTTCCTTGACTGAATCTTTTCCCATTGTTCTTTTGCTTTTATCAAGACTGTGAAATAAATTATTTAATTATGCCAAGTGAATTGGACTTCAAATGCAGATTCTGGGCTCATTATTGAATTAAGAACTATCAAACTATAGTTTCATGAAGAGCATTATCATTTTGAAACTTCATTATGTGTGGTGTAGTAGATGGAAGATCATATTATTGCAGAAGTGGAAAAAAGGATATTTTTGCTTATCACCATTCTCAAGAAAATATTCTTTCCATATTGTGATCATGAAAATAGCCATCTTTAAATTAATTAATGTCTATAATCATTAAACCTGATTATAGAAAGATATTATAGAAGTTATAATGAAACAGGTGTGTTGATTTGACAGAAGAACAAAGGAAATATTTACATTAGTACATCAGAGAAAAGTCATTATGCAGCATGTTTTCTTGTGAGTTAATTAAGAATGGAATGTTCATTATTGTGAGATTCAAAGAAAATCAGTAATAATATTGTGCATTTTCATATCATCAAGAGTTTCTTACATCTGCATATTTAGCTGAAGAGGAGTCAGGAAGTAGTGTGCATGCATTGAATGTGCTTGTTGAGTAAAAGTGCAAAGCAGTGGGATCAGTGCCCAAGAGATGGTGAAAATCATTTGGATGTGAAACTTACAAATTATTCATAGTTTTGCCTTAGTATTGCAAGGAGTTAAAGATCAGAATGACATCATTTTGTGTATAGATTTACGAACAAATTAAATTGTCTGTTTTCATTGAAAATGGTTTGATATGAATGCAGGAAGATATAATTTCTCAAGAAGTATCATGCAGCTATAATATACCTCGGTAATTGTTGAAATTTCTGAAGAATGTGTTTTAAGAGAATATATAAATTTTAAGTATGACATAAAATAATTATTATTCCTGATAAAAAAACATTCAGCAAAACTGCCAATGAGGTGTTGTGATTAAAACATAATACACACATCATATTCTGATAGCAATTTTTGACTGAAGGTTTCTGTAGTGCTGGCAATTTGAAAGATTTGTATGTGGCATTGAGATTCGTGAATTCCTGAACATTACTGTGAAGTTATGGTTATTGAGTGTTACCTATTATGATGGAAGAACTGTGTTTATATTGCTTTAACAGCATGGTCTTGTGTCGAGACAAATTTACCTCTGAAAGAGTGTTTGATAGTGTGATAGAATAAATCTTAAAAGCCAAACAAATGATCTTGTGCATTGTTCAGTGAAGTGTAGTGAAGTGAACTTTTCCAGTTTTTTTTTTTCTTTCCTCTTTTCTTATTTTGCGTTTTATGTTTTGCATTTGTGCCAACAAAAATGCTAATTGAATCTTGACTGAATATGGTGTACTTATGCTATGAAGATGATCATGTGTGAGAGCTTTGTTATAAAGTATATTTAAATGTGTGATTCTTTTTTTTTCTTTCTTCAAAGTGTTCTGGAGTGATGGAGTTGTTTTATGGAGCCATCTGTTCATTTAGAAAATGAATGCCTTTTTAATAAATTTATCTGACTTCAAAAGTGAAATTACATTACTTTTATGAAATTGAGATGGAGAATTTTCATGTATGGAAGCTGTGTGTGTTTAAACTAGAATTATCTATAAAATATGAACAACTCTAATAAATAGTAATAATAATCATGTCAAATTTAAAATGTCTCAAATTTTCAACTCCTCAAATTTTAAATGGGTCATTGCAAGAACATAAAGAATTTATCTATTGGGAATACACAATAAATCATGTGTAGCCTTGTTAGTTCATCTGTTTACTGGGAGACTAAATTAATGTGCAAATCAAAATTTTTAGGAATGTGTACTTAACAATGGAATTTTGAAGTTAGTGTGCAAGGTGATGAAAGGTGAAGGGATGTGATCTGATTTTATAAAGTGAAGTTTTAGTGAAGTGAAGTGATGTGAAATCGTGTCAAGTGATTTTTAGAAATGAAATGATACGAAACTGATGAAAAATGTGGAGGTAAAATGAGCCAAAGAATACTGGGTGTTATGCTCTGTGAACTGGTAAATATTGTAAAAATACGTTCTAACATGATGATGTGGATCAATGGATAGTTATCAGAACAGTTAACAGTTATCAGAATTGCAAAATAAGATTCAAATTAACTTACTTGTACATAGTGTTGCTCAGTAGTGTTTATTTAATAATGAATATGTAGTGTTTATTATTAACTATGAATATGTGAATATTGCTAAAGAAGAAGGAATGTTGAAGAATCTGCAGTGACAGTGTTCTATCTGGTAATATAAAGTTATGGAAAGTCTAAGTAATATAAAGTTATATATGAATTGTTCAAGTTACAATGAATAGCCACTGTTCACAGGTTTATTTGTTTCTGGTGACCTTTTCTAATGCAGTTGTATTGTGATATTGAATGTTGTTACTTATGTATTCATTATATGTTGAAAAATTGTGTATATGAATGAAAATATTAATTTATTATGAAAGTTAATTTTAATTTCTTAAAGACTGATTTTGGTGGTAGTAAGGTAGTAATATTGGAAGATTTAGCTAGCAAGCTACTCAGTGATGTAAGTAATTACCGAAGAATGGTTTTGTCATGAGAAACAACAGTTGTGTGTACTTATCTGCATGTCAAGGCAGTTATGCAAGTCATTGAGGCTGAAATGCATTTTGGCAATTTCTAATTCATTACAAACAAGAAAAGATTTTTGATAAAAATAAATGACAGAGAAATGATACAGAAAATAATAAACAGGACTGCAAACCAATTTCCAGGCATTTTGTATTTCAACTGTTAATAACAGTTTGCCTAAAAAGAGTCAAACCATTTTCGATTTCCAAAGATTCTGGAATTCTAAAAATTGGCCATCCTCAGTTCCAGTATGATTCTGTCTGTTAAGTTCTGTGGTAGCTGCCAGATAAAAAGGCAAATAAAGAATGAAGATTATCAAAACTTCTGGCATTGTGCAGTTAAGGATGTAACACCACTTGGAAAGTTAATGCTTCATCTGTCTTGCTTGATGTCTCAGCATCTGGAGACTGCTCCAAAAGACCTGCTGGGTGATTTTCCAAGACTGAGTCGGGAGGGTGCAGCAGCCATGGTGTTCAACAAGAAAAATCGCAGTGGCAAAGGAAAGAAAATTCCATCACTATTTGATATTGAAGTTCCTATACCTGCACAATTGTTAGCTGAACAGAAAGAATCTTCAAAGGACCAGTCCCCAAGAAGAACCCCAATGCCTGAATCTGATAACGAAGGTTAGAAACGATCACCCTATCAGTAGAGACTTAAGTCATGAGATTTTAGCATTGTCCCCCTATTTGCAAGGGTGAACATTTGAGACTTGCTGAACAAATCAAAAATGTTCTGTTTGAAGTGTTCTGGTTGAGAAACAAGACACCTGGGTATGATATATTTCTGACATTCATAAATAATAAAGTGAAATGCCATTGTAATCAGTTAAAATATTGGTATTATTTATTACACAGAAAATGAAATGAAGAAAATTCACCATTGAAATTAATTATTTTTAAACTCCTTCGAGTTGGATATTTCGCAGTGTAATATAAGATCATGGCTTTATACACAATTAATTAGAAATCAAGGTCATTCACTTGAAATTTGTTTCCTTTATAATTTTGAAATGCATCTTCCCATAGTATAATGATATAGAAATGCAAAATAACAAACTGTTCTAAGTTAGGAAAGATATTATTAAAGGAGGAATAAATTTTGCTATAATTTTGTTTACATAACTAACTTTCATTATAGACCAAGATGGTACTACTACACCTATGCCACAATCTCCTGTTAATGATGGTAAAGCTAAGGGCAAAAGTCAGCGATGGGGTGATGATGCGCATGGTTCTCATTCAAGAGATTCAAAGGATGAAGAGGGAAGGGAATTAGGGAGTGAAGATGAAAAGAAACCATTGATGCCCAAATTTTATCAAGAAACTGATGGAGATGGAAATAAAAAGAATTCTGATAAAGAACGTGGAAAGTTAAATCTTCATCGTTTTGCTGGGTAATTGTTTTTTCTTTCCCTTATCATTTCACATTTCGTCATTTAAAGTTTCTTATCTGTGGGAACTGACTACTCAGGTATTCACCAAACCCAGCTGATGAAAAGAAAGGATCTTCAGAACCAGGCACTTCTGACAAGAGTCAGATTGAAGAGAAAGAAAACAGAAGAAAATCTGATGATAAGAAGTCCCAAAATGATTCTGGGAATGGTATGTAATATCATTTTTTTACTTTGTTTTCTTGAATGTATTAATTTATTCCTTCCTCATTTTTGCATCCAACATGTTTTTGACGATAATTTTGATGAATACCAAATTGTATCCTTCTGACATCCTTAGTTATATCCATACAAAAAATACATTTACAGAATTGAGCTAAATTTCTCTTCCTCTCCTCCCCCCTCCCTTTGTAACAACTTGAGCAACTCTCAACCTCAGATAAACATTTCATTTCCCAGGCCCCTACCCCTGATTTAAATAAAAGTAACTTCATTAAAAATTGTGGAAAATTTTACATAATCTAAAATAATATAATTTTTCAAACTTACACTCTAAGTGCTTTTTTGATTAATTTTAACATTATTCTATAGTTTTGAAGATGAAGGGTATTTGTCAGGGGCTCTTATTTCCTTAAAGCTGTTTGAAGAGTTAGTTACAGCAACTGAGCATATGCCACAAGATCCAGGTTCAATTCCCAGCTGGGCCAGTCAATTATTTGAACAGTCAAAACATAATTTCTAACAATATAATAATTATTACATAATATGATGAAAATATTGGTTTGTCATCACCCTTCTACTCCTCTTGCCTTGTTCTAAGTCATCACACTTGCCCCTATCTAAATCATTTCCTAAATTGAAGACAGCTTAAATAAAAACAATTCAAAGTTTTATTCTGTTTAAAAAACATTTATAGACGAATTATTGAGCTTCTCTGACTAGAAAATTAGATACAAGTAGAATTAAGTTTTTCTCCGTTTTTGTTTGTTTCCACAACTTAGTGTCATGTTCTCTGAATTGTATGGAAAAATAATGAGTTATTAGAGTAAGATAAATTTATTGCTTTGTTTAAATCTAAATATTTATTTACAGAGCCACACATTAAATTCTCTTGGTACCCTTGTATGTGATGCATCAAGCAATGCCCTTGTATGCAAAGAATGTAGCAATGCATCAATTTGCACTCTTAAATGTTGAGGGTGGAAGGGTTTAATAAATCCACTGCCTTGTGCTAGCTTATAAATTGCTCCAGAGAAGTGGGCTTGGAGAACTAATGCAGTGCTACTTTTTTCTCTTTTGCAAAATGCTATGAATAAAACTCTTTAGATATCCTAAGTGTTTGGTTGCCCTTCATTTCTAAACTGTGTGCATAGTTCAATACATTTATGGAAAATTTTGAAGTCCTTTTTTCATAGTTTACTTTTGAATTACAGCTGACAGTGGTGCAGAAAGTAATGATGCTACAAATATTCCACTTCATTTGCCTAAAAAGCAAAGAGAACTATTTTTGAGAATTCAACAACAACAAAGAGAAGCTGATAGTAGTCAGGTATGTACATATTGGTAATGGAATAATTATTTTGATTGTGCTTTCATGCAAATATTATTAGTAGATGTACAACAATAGATCGTAAATATTTACCTATTCTTTGCTAATGAAGGGCCAAGGGTTTTTGGTAGACTAGGCTGATGGAAACAGCTTCCAAAGTGTTTACCATTTGCATTTTCCAAAAAATGTAATTTACTTTGTCTATTGTTTGTTATGATAGGCTATTTGTGAAAAATGTTAATCATAAAAAATAATAAAAAGTGTAAAACGTAACATAATCCATGTTTTTCCACTTAAAAAATTACGTACTGTTTTTGTGAACATTGAACATTAGTAATATTTTCCAATCTGTTGTGTAGAAAGTGATTGTCATTGAGTTTCCATTCTGATCTACAAAGATAAATTCCATGTCCAAAGCAATAAAAATTATGATGATAATTATTTTAATAATGATGATAATGACAAAATTTTATATACCTATTAGACAAGGTGCTAAGAAGAACATAGAGCAGTTTTGTAAGTTCGTGGGTCTTATTTGTAGCCCATTATGCTGACAGAACAAAAACCTGATGAGCAATCATCACTTTTTACCAAGCATGTGGTTCTCATATGAAGCATTCCTTAACCCTGAATTTGCCTGGTGTCAATACATACATAATGTCAGTGGTTCAGTGAAGTTTGCGTTACCCTATGTTTACAATTCTCTGAAATTACAAACAAAATATACTCTTCAAATTCATAAATAGAAACAAAGACATTTTAAATCAGTTTATTGATATGTTAAACATTAGTCGTTGCATAAATCCCCAAAGGTAACACGATAGTAAGATATGGTGAGCATTGAGATGATATAGTTTTCTAGAACCTAAAGTAGTATTTTGTGGAATAGGAATTACATAAAGCTAGATAACATTCTTCATTCAAATACTGCTTCATTTACTTCTCTAAGTGAAATTTTGTTAGACTCAAAAAATTTCATGTGCTGTTATAGAACCACTAGATTGTATTTGCTAGATAATATTCTTGTGTGAGCGTGAGCCTACCAAATTTATGCTGAAAAATTCTTTGAGATGCCGATTGATTGCTAATTCTGGTGATTTAAAAAAATGTTGACGTTGTAGAATGTCAATGAAATATATGAACAATATATTTTAAAAAGACATCAATGTTAAATCTCACACTAATCTTAACTATGAAGGCTTGAGTTTTTCAAACAGGATCCCACTTGCACCCAAATTGTTCTTTATCACAGTCAATCCTTGTAGACTTGAAGAATACTGAAATGAGTACAAAGACGACAGTCAGGCAGATAGATATTTTGAGGGCATACAAAAAAAACCCACCCACTTTTGCATATCAGGGTCTCCCAGAACTTTGTATTTCTGTCAAATTCTTGACATTAATGTTTTGCAGCATGACGTAACTTTTTCTATACCTATTACATTTGTTGGTAAGTCATTTGGTCAACAAATGCTGAATTTACTAATGTGCAAACCATCAAAACTTTATATTTAACTCTAGTAAGAGCAATATTATTATATGGCTCACAAATATGGTCTCCCTTTTACCAGAACCATATCTCTAGACTTGAAACTGTTCAGCACAAATTTTTTATTTTTGCTGCCTTCAAGCTTGATATTCCATCTCCTAGATTTAGTCACAATTATTTCCAAGTCGCAACTAGATTGAATATTAGCACATTACGCTCCCATAGGGATTATTTTGATGTACTTTTTTTGTATAATTTGATAAATCATGATATAGACTCTTCAGAATTACAATGTAAAATTCCTTGGGCTAATCCAGTGCGTGATCTGCACAAACAGCATGTTATTTAATATTCCTTTTGCGAGATCAACCTTGTACTATTATGCGCCATTATGGAAAATGTGTAGAAGTGCCAACTGTAACCTCATTAACTTATTTTGTTCACCTTATCAATTTAAAAAAACTTATAAAAACCTGTTACTAAATGATTTTCAATAATACTGTAATGTAAATGATATTTAATAATTGGGCGATTGCCTGTAATTATATGTATATAAATAAATAAACAAAAAAAACAAACAAACAAACAAACATTCGCCATATTCATGTCAGAGAATAAGCAAATGCAAACATTTTCTTATCTGCTTTTCAGTATGATTTGTATCAATTCTTACAATATTCTTTAGTGACGATATTGAAACAATGTAAATCTCTCCTGAAAGCTATCCCTTTCTTCTACACTACGGTTTTCGCAACCATACTCCTGGCAGGAATCATCTGTTGACAGTATCATCAACAGATGATACCTGCCAGGGGCAGAGTTGCTTAAAGCGCAAGAACTAATTGACATTTTGAACCATTGCTGCAGGCAATACTTAGATTTATTTCTAATGGCAATTGACTTTTAATCAGCATTTATGGTGTCATCCAATCGGGAGCTTGAACATCACTAGTGACATTTCATACCAGCTGAGACAAGTGCTACTACAAATAAATTGAAGTATAGCGATACAGTTTTTGGTGATGCTCCATTGTTTTAGAACTTGTCAAAAAATCGTTCCCTGGCTTGAACAAAACATAGTTCACAAAAAAGTATAAATTCATAACCTTCTTTAAAGAAGGTAACTAGTTTTTAACTTAATTACTGAGGCTCTAACTGGCTGGTACCTTTTTGCCTATTGATGAGCATATGATGGAAAATCAAAATCTTCAAATAGAAATTTCTGGGTGCACGGAAATAGGAATATTAGGTATTTGATGTGAACAAAATGATACTCTTCATCAGGCTTGACAATGTCATGGGCAAAATATCTAGCATACCAGAGTTAGCGGGCACTGCTTCCAAAGCAACTCAGCGAGGTTTAAAAGTAACACCGTCATCACACAAAGTTCAGCACCATCCCGGAGAAACACTGGACCCTTTCACACAGTCACCTACCAGCACCATTGAGCGTGGATCAGGAAGGAGGTGCCGAAGGCTGCAGGACAGTCAACATGTTAACAGCAAGCTCAATTGCACAACCAAAGAGGTGTAGTGAAGGATGTCACTTATACTTCAATTTTTTCAATGTAGCGCTTGATGTAAATCAGCTGTTGACGTTGTTATTCAAACCGGAACTTTAACGTCACCACAGTCACGTCACCATGACAGCGTTCAAGCTCCTGATTGGATGACACTGTAATAGCCGATTTACATCAAGCACCATGTTAAAAAAGTAGAGGTATAGAACTGTTCTGTCGTTGGTGGAAGAGTGAGCCACTAACCGCCACTATAGTACGATTTATTTAGTTGTGCACTTGGCAAAAATCAGCTGTTGCGGTTTCATCCAATTGGGAGCTTATGTTGCCACAGTGATGTCACTATGCGGATGTTCAAGCTCCCTGTTGGATGAATCCGTGAACTGCTGATTTATGTCAAGTGCATGGTTAAACATATCCTAGTATACATCACCATTTAAATTGATGCTTTCCAGCAGAGCACCACACTGAAGTCCTGTAGGTCTGTGTGAAGGGGCTCTAAGGGCTGTTTGAACTGCTCCGAGATGTGTCCACACATCCCACCTAGCCCAGGAGTCTTTTGGAGAAAGCTGAGAGTTATTGCCCCAATTTAGCAATAATCATTCCCATTTTCTCTTCTAAAATGAATAAAATTATCCATTTATATAAAATATATCACTCATATTTGAACTTCTTAATTGAGAGTAAAATAAAACATTTTGAATCAGATCTTGATTTCATAATCGCATTTACTTGAAAGTGCCATAATTGCAATTGTTTGTCCAATGTAACAATTATTTAATAAACATAACAAACTGAAAAGAGGCGCCAAATTTACCATTGAAACGTATTCCTGCTCTTGTGAAAAATGATAATAAAAGGAGAATTTAAAAAGTAAATAAACATGAAATAAGGTAATAAGAAATATAGTTGCAATGATATACAGACATCGAAAAATTAAAACATACATAAAAAATGAAACGCATTTGACTGGAATCTGTGCCATTTTGACCGTCAATTTGGATCGTGCTACCGGACCTAATTTAAAGTGTTGCGCCGCGGTAAAATACCGAAATACAAAGGATGATTAGTATTGGATACTCATTTGGCGCAGAATTTAATGTTTTTTTTATTCTTGGAATAGTAAAGAGTTTGTTAGGAAGCACTTTTTTGTGGGGCTATAAGCATGCAACTGCAGAAAAGTCCAACTTATTATTTTTTTTTTACCTTAATTCAAGCTTGTGTTGAGGATCTGTGTAAATCTAGAATGCTTTTATCGAGCATCAAATGAAGTAATCAAATCAATTTCCAGCCTGTCAACAATAATTTCTAGAAAACTGAATAATAGTATCTAATTTTACTAGTGGCATCTCTGACATCATGTTGCAAGATTCATGGTGCGTTTCTTGGACCTGCACATGCATTCTCTTCGAATCCGCCAACTAGGACTACGCATATACACATTTTGCATTTACCAGGGCTCAGTATTATTATCGCGGGGGCAGGTGCATGTAACGTTAATTGGGGGTCCAGCATTAAGCTGAGTCCGATTTTAATTCCCCAGGGTTGTTAGCCCTGGGAGTATGAAAGATGATAATGAGGGGTGAAAGGACGACACACTCATACAGACATACACAAATACACCCATGCCCGAGGCAGGATCCGAACCCGTGATCTTCTGGGCCAAAACCACTATGGCACTACTGCCTTATCGATCTGGGCTATCTAATCGGGAATTGTCGTTATTATTATTGTTATTTATTAATAATAATAACAATGATAATATAATAATGATGATGATGATGATAATGATAATAAAAATAATGATGTTAATATTATGTAATCTCCTGGTCCTTAAACAGGTATAATGTATGGTAGTAAGCAGTGTTCACTTCGTTTGATCATATGAATTGACAGTGATATCAGTTATTTCATATAACTTTTACAAAATTGTGATTAAGGGACTTTTCCATTCACAAACAAAACATCGATAACGTCAGATCGTTGAGCTCCAAGTATCGATATGAAAACTTGGACTTAATCAAACAGTGTTTCGAAAACATTGATATCGATGTCTCACCCCTAGTCAGGAGACCATTCAGGAGCTAAGAGCTCACCTTGGCCGGAGCAGTGCCTCATGGGGGGGGGGGGATATCTGGCGGGAGAATCTCTCACAAGCCGACATGTAGGTTGATGTCTAATCTCACAGTCCACAGCGGGAAGAACATCACCTCCCCCTTGATGTGCCCAGGCACAATCAAGCATGAAATCTTTTGTTCAATATTAGATCTTTAAAACGTTTCGTGTGCAATTTTTCCTAAATTCTAGTAGTTTCAGGGTACTGCATAATCACTGAAATTATAAATATAAGTGAATAAAATTTTCTCAATAATGGTTCTGAATATTCTCTTTAAACTTTTTGTAAGATCAGCGCTCATTACTTTCTGTTCAGTCAAGTGAGCGATTTTTTTGACATTCACTTATCCCAAACCACGTTGGGGTATGTAGTGGGTGAGAGACCCTTAAAATGATTCATCTTCATTTCACCAACTTGTCCTGGAGTTGTTTTTCTCCTTAGTATTTTTTATTAATTTTGCCAACTGGAAAATGTTTGCATAATATCAGTGTATTTGTGCACCTAGAATACAAGAAAAATATACTTTAAAACTTCCTTTTTCAAAAATATTTTTTGCTTGCATAATTCTGTCATTAAAGTTAGTCTGTTACACGTTACCTAAATGTTCTCATATGCTGTTCGACATGATTTGCATAAAATTCTTAAAATATTCTGTTAAATAATTTGGTTTAGTGAACAAGTGAAATTGGAACAATTTAATTTGCTTGTGAACAGTATCGCTCACCTCCAACTGCACGCTCTGAACTGACATTTTGAGGCATTAATTGTTGGTGCTCCAGCCCACATGGTTGGTAAAATCATTTCACAGAGCAATGCGGTCTTCGGTAATGCTGAACAGTTTTTCAATCTTGACAAAAAAATCTGTGCTTGGTCTGTTGGCCTAGACCAAGAACTGAATTTAATAGTGCAAGTGCTGTTTTCATTACATCTTTTAAATGTCCAAAACTGTAACATTGTAATTTTTTTAAACAATTTGCACAATAATGTTTATTCTGAAGATGTAATTTATATTTTAATGACTCAATTTGTGTACACAATTTTTTCAAGTGATCTCTTATGAAGTTTCTCGAAAACTCAAAAGTTTTTAAGGATAAATATTTGTATCTTCATATTACCCACGAAGAGTAAGCTTATTGGCAGACATGATAGAGGGCTAGTGGTTTCCATTGTGGCCTCCTACTCCTCTCCTTGTGAAAATTCGATTCCCAAGAGTTTGAGAGGAAATGTTTTTCTTAACATTTCCCCTCAAATGGAACAAAGTGTGCTTATAAATATGGCCCAAGTCCAATTTTCTTTGAAATCTTTGAACTTTTCAACTTTAAAAATTTTGATCTTTGGTTTCTTTTGCTGAAAGGAGTTCTTCATGAATTGGTTGAAGAACTAGGAGAATATAAGTTGCACTATAATAATATTATGAACCAATTACAAACTGTACATGAATGTATGTACTGTTGCAGTAACACTGTGTTATTTTTTATTATTATTATTGTTATTATTATTGTTATTATTATTTAATTAATAATTGTATTACTTTTCTTGAGAATTTCCCTCCAAATCCTGTCTACTACTGAAAACAGTAGAAAAAGAAAATCTTTGAGTGCCAAGTTGTTAATATATTTAAAGAGGGCTTTAAATTAATTTTTATTAGGAAATTTCCACTAGACTAATGAAGACTAGAAAAATGAACTAATAATTGATTATTTTATCTAGTGTATGAAACAAAATTATCTTTAGGGTTTATTCATTAAGTGTTTGTAACAGATTTTTACTGCCATTGTCAATTCTTATTTGTTTTAGGATAAGGCTGGTGATCATGATGAAGAGGTTGTTGTTGTCAAAGAAGAAAATTGGTATTCAAGTGATGACGAAGAAGATAGTTTAACAAATGTGTTGAAAAATTTGTCAAAGCAGGTACATTTTCATAAGTTGCAACAAAATGTTTTGGCAACTTTTATTATTCAGGTTTTCACAGATTTTTTGAAATGTTACAGGATCAGCAACTGGCAACTTCTAATCCATTAGATCCATCTTCATGCTCAACCACTGAAATAAAATCTGAGCCAAATCCGGCTACTCTTCCTCCCTCTATCTTGCCTCTGAAAATACCAGATTTATCAAGGATTAAGATCGATGAATCATTCACTAAATTATTGTCCAGCATTTGTGGTAAAACAGCTGCTGCAAGTTCAGGCACTGCAAATACAACCACTACTGTTACAACAACTACAACTCCTGTGGCTACTACAACTACAACTGATGATAGCAGTGCAACTCCAGTAACGACACCAACTGAACTGTAAGTACATATTTTGAAATAATTTTGTTTGACTTTGCTATGATCTTTCCCAAAATTAGTTATAATTTGTTTGTCTACGGACATATAATAGTTAGTTATGGAGATTGGTTCATTAACAATAAAGCCACTGTAAAAATCTCCTTTTCTATGGAGTTAAATTTCAGTATTGTCCAACTTCCAACTAACATCAGCTGCTAATGTCATTAGTCCCATAAGTGTAGTGCATGTGTATTGGAGGTGGTGTGATCTGCTGGAAGGTGAGATCTGGCACAGACATACATGTCAGCTAGCAGGGATTTTTTCACAACCAGGTATATTCCACAAGCAGGGTAACTGTCCAAGCCGGGACAAGCTCTAAGCTTCCCACTGGTCTGCTGATATGTTTGGTACTGTAGTGCAATTGGATTAGGAAGGGGAAGGAAAGATTATGCAAGGTCCGTGGCCCATTTGTTAGGGTACTGCTCTGGCATTTGCCTGGTGTTAATTGGAGAAACCATGGAAAACTACTGATCAGTGCAATGGGATGCTTGAATTCTCCTCCAGACAGTGGCTGCAATCAACCTAGATAGTGTGGTTAATCCTGCCACCATTGGGACTTGTACCTTACGGTCACCCAGTCACAGGCACTGCAGTGACATCAATTGATGTGCTAAGCCACTTAAACTGTGTTTTCATTTTGATATCGCGATGACCATGGCACTATTATTAGAAAAATATTTCAGAGAAGTAAATTTCATATATTGCTTAGGTAGTTTTGCTTTGCCTCATAAAATTACAGTTTTCAGTGAGTACATACGGGTGAAAATTGTAAATGAAGATCAAACAAAATGCTTTAAAGTTAATATATTACTTTGAACTTTGAAGTTAATATATTACAAGTTTTGGAAGGCCTCAAAGTGTTTGTCGCTTAGAAAACAAAGGAACATAATGAACAAATTACTGTATGTAAGAAGCTTAGGATGTGTATCTCTTCATATAGTTGGATTTACAGCTTAGATGTCATTTCTTTAAAGATTGATTTGAATTTAATATTTTACATAAGCTGGCAACAGTGCATGGTTAGTACCTTAAGGCAATTTTTGAAGTTCCATATTATAAGAATTAAACTTTCCGTTTCAAATTTGTGATGAAATGTTAAAATAAATTAAAAATGAAATTATTGTAATGAGGTTGCATTTGTTTCCATATTAGTCTAATGTATTATTTGTAAATGTACACAGAGCCAATGTATTTGATTAAATTCTGCTTAAATAAGAAGAGTGAATTTCTTTCCTGTACTGGAATTACCTAATTTTTGTGTGATCCAGGAGAATATTAGGTATTAAGTTGAGACCTGGGTCATTGAATTATGAATGTTTTGGTTGTATTTTTTAAAATGGTGCTATGGAATTCTTCATTGTATTGTAGAATTTTCACCATTCCACTTTTAATTAATCCAGTTTCTTAATGCTCATGTGCATACAAACATATACAGATTTTAATCTGATAAAATAATGTAACAACAAATGCAGAGATTAAACAGTACAAAGTAAATGTTCTTATATTCACAAAGGAAGGGAATGAAATGGTTTTAAGCAAGTTTGGGACTAAAATACAAATACTGGTGGAGACCCTTCTCTTTTTATCAAATAAGTTATTCTGATTTTTGAATAAATTCATTTTAACATGATATTCTTTCTTCCTTGCTCCTTAATACTCTTTTCCTCACCTTTCCCGAATTCTACTTGGCCTATTTCCTCCTATATTCTTGTCTTTTGTGTAATTTCTCTCTCTCTCTCTCTCTTTCTCTCAGTACTTTTCTTTTAGTTTTTGAAGAAAAATTCAATGACTTTCTTTTCTTTCACAAAGGTCCGCTCCTCAACCAGCAAGTACAAGTGTTGCACGAGATCCTCGCTTGTCACGTGATCCGCGTAGTAGAAGCCAGCCTTCTGGATCTGTTGCTTCTAGTGCTGCAGGAGTATTTGCTGCAGCATTAGAAACAGTTACCACAGCATCTTCTACGACATCATCTACACTCTCGACTTCAGAATCATCAAGGAGGACAGATCCACGCAGAAATCACGATCCACGTTCTGCAAAATCGAGCCATAAAAGTGATTCTCAAGATCATAAACATGGTGGCAGTGTTAGTAGCAGGCGTAGCAGTGGTGGTAGCCACTCAGCTCCTTTTCCAAGCATTTATAGCAATGCAATAATGAGTGATAAGACTTCCACACAAAGTAGTGGACTTGGTTTGAATTTGGGGGGAGCTAATACTGGGGATGTTGATTTAAGAAATTTGTTGCCGAGAACTCTAGAAACAGGTGATGTGGACCTTCGTAGTAGAAGTGATACTGATTTACGGACGGGACAGCCTCCCACGTCTCTAGTATTTGGTGACACAGATCTTCGTGTTAGATCTCATGGCCTTATGAATGTGGGTCAGGTGGACAACAGCAGAAATAGCAGTGATGTAGATTTACGAATGTTGGAGCTTCCCTTTAAACCTGTACCGATGCATACACCTGCAACGGAAATTGAAGCTTCTTTGACATCACATCCTCCGATTCCATACAAAGTGGTTGTTGTTACTATTCCTAGACCGGATTATACAAGTTTGAAGCTTAATACTTCTGATCCTCAGGTATGATTTTTTTTTTCTTATTATAATAATAATCTCTTTTTATTTTTGTTTAAATTTATTTATTTGTTTATTTGTTTCCATGTGGTTTGGGGGTCGCAATTAGTCCACAGGATTTGTCATTGGGTTCCTGTTACAAAGAATAGTTCATAAAAAAGTGTACTTTGATGGCCAAGATCACTTAGGCAGTAGTGCAGTGGTGGTCTCGGTCCAAAGGATCATGGCTTCACGTCCTGCCGTGAGGATGATTGTGTTGTGTTTGTCTATGTTCTTGGTTGTCTATTTCATCATTCATCATCACCATCCTCCAGGGCTAGAAACCTTAGGGTATAAAAATGAAATCAGCATTAAATTGCAACTCATCCTATAGAAAAGTAACATGCACCTATCCCAATAATTTAGTCTGAGCCCCGGTGGGATGCATGTATCGTGTGGCTCGATGATGGCCGATTCGCAGGGGGGAAATGATAATGATAATATTAGTAATAATAATAATTATTATTAATATTAGGAATCCTTTGAAATTAAATTTCTTCCTTGTCCAGAATAACAATAGATAAGTTTTTTATATTAAATAACTATTGAATTTTTTAATGTAAAGGTAATTTAGTTATAAATAAATTGGTAATTTCTGTTCAATTAAATTCTTTTGAAAATTTAACTAATATTTGTCCTTATTCCAAGAGTTTAATCGAATTGATATTTCTTTTAGGTTCAGAGTGATCCTCGCTTGAGGAAGATCTTCAAATTGCAGTCACCAGGGGCTGAAAATCCAGGGAGAAGTTCATTAGGCAGTTCTGCTGCGAGTGTGTCTCGCAATGATCCTCGAAGGCAGTCAAGCAGAAGTAGCAGTAGTAGTAGCAGCAGCACAAGCACCACCACCAGCACCAGTGCACACACAAGCGGGCACTCCAGTGCACACTCCAGTGGACACTCAAGTGCACACTCCAGTGCTCATCCTAATATGCATACCAGTGCTCACTCCAGTCTTCACCCTGGGATACCCACTGGTACTCTTACTAGTGCTCACCCTGGGTCCCATACCTCTGGCATCCATCCTAGTGCACACAGTAATACAAACATTGGAAGTGGTACTGTGCCAGCAAGTTCAGAACAACTTGAAAAATTGCCGGAGACTTATTTAGGACCTCAATCAACAAATGTGATCTCTGCGCCAACAAACGAAATGATGAATGTTGGTTCTTTATTAATGTCAAATCCAGGAATGCGTCCAACTCTTGCTCCGCAGACATCAAGTCCTCTTTTACCTAATCCACCTGCAAGGATTGGTCGTGACCCTCGTTGTGCTCCAGGGCTTTTGGGAGCTGCTCCTTTGCCACCAAATTATCGTCCAAACACTCCTATGTTTGAAGAACAAGTTGATATGTCAAGTGGAATGGATGGTGATCCTCGTGTAATGTTCAGCAGGGGTTCAGTCAATGGTGCAAGGTGGGATCAACAATCGCAACCTCCCCCTCATATGCCTAGAAACAATTGGAGGAACAACCGCAGAAATCCACAGTCTAGATATGTTGAACAGGATTATAATCCAAGGTCATATACTCCCCCTACATAGAAACTTCCTATATGTGGGGAAATAAACCTGTTGTAATCAGGGCCTACTAGACAACCATGTAATTTGAAATGTGAAGGGGTGTTTGAAAAGTCTAGAGTTTTTAGTCTGTCATAGGGGTTATATTTTATTTGTTACAAAAGAGATTTATTGTGCCACTTGAGATATGGACGTATTACATGCCAGGTAAAAATCCAAAATCTTTCTGAATTGTATTTGAGAAAGAGTTGTTAATTAGAAACATTAATGTGTACCATGGAACTATTCCGTATTCCTAATAAACATGTATCACTCACTACCTTTCCACTTGTTCAGAGCAGATTGCAAAAACTAGAAATGTTACATTGATGGCTGTTAGGTTATCAGTCATTTGCACTGCTAAAGCAGAGTTGTTTGGAAAAGTAATATGACATGATTTACTTTGCTCAAAAAGAGGATTTCTTCAAAAATTCAGTGAATGTTCTCTACTTTATTAAGGCTTTGTCACTACTATTAATTATGCATTGTTATTAAGTATTGTTTGGGTTGTTAAATAAAAAAGGTCATTTGAAATCATATTAAATATGGTCGTATTGAAAAATTTTTCTTCTTTTTTAACTTTGATGAATGCAAATTGTTGTTTTATACATATAATTTTGCTTGTAACCTTGCCCTCAGCATTTTAGTTGTTATTTATGTAGGTAGCACTCATTTCTACTACACTTACATGTACTTCGCAAAGCAGAGAAGAATGTTCCAAGAATTGGGGCTGTGCCTCGATAATTTTAAAAAATGTATTATGAATATATTTTATTTTTGTTGAACAATTAATGCAAAATTGGTTAGATACAATTAAGGTCGTTTGGTAAAGTTCAAGAAATTTACATTTTAACATGATCTTTATTATAATATTGGATTTTCTCAGTCACCACTTAATTGGGGCTGAATGTGAAGAACTATATGAAAAGTTGGGCATATGTATGAAAATAAAATTATTCACCAATCATAGTAATGCATCATTCTGGAAGTATATTTGTTGTGCAGATGTATCTATAACACACATCTTTATTTAATTTATTGAAATGAACATATTTCTTTTGTTAAAAATGTTTTTGTAATTATGTTGACATAGAATTCTGTATTTGTTACTTGTTATTAATAATTGTTTCCCTTTTCCATGCTATGGAGACACTTTTCAAACACTCCTTACTAGGAAAATATGCTGTTGTCTTAATAATTTTACATTGTGAGTATACTATAACTCATTTGGATGTGTGGATGCGAGGTATATGTATGATAACAGAGATCAGCTAAGATTAAAGAGTTTGTTTTGCAGTTGAATTTGTTCCCTGTACCTTTCATGATCTTTGTTAGAAAGTCTGATGTTGGGATTTGTGCCCCTTGCATTTTGTATTGTTGTGTATGTTAGATATTGTTCCCTTGTATATATTGTATTAACCATCCCTGGAAACAGGACAGTGTGACACAGTGAAACTATTTTTGATTTATTTATTTATGGACATTCCCTTTGATAGAGGTATGCATTATTGAACTGGTCCAATACAGGTAGATTTGGAAGTGCAATATTTTATATTTGAGCCTCATTGATTCTTAGTATTACTTTATCCTTTTATTTTGCTGTCATGGAGAAACTTCACATCAAAGTATTCACTCAATACAGTAACCTGAATAACAAAGATCATACACTTCACCAAAAACATTTTCTATTACTAAAATATTCCTAAAACTGTTCTTGTCCTCTATTTTATTTTTGTGGAGAAACAATAGCTTTTCTGCTAATATTATGTTCTTTATTTCCATACACTATAAAGAAGAAACTGAAATTTGTGTGCAAATAAAAGTGTTATTTGTGTAGTTATTGCTGGAATGATGCAAAGAGTTGTTATATCAAAATTTGAAAGATATTGAAGGAAGTGTATTCCAAACTTGAGGATGATTTCAAAACTGCAAAATAAAGTTTCGCTGTTTATGTATGCATGTGCATAGTATGAAAGGTATGTGAGGTGTCTATAAGTCAATTGTTTGACTTATTTTCACATCTTGTTATTTATAAAAAGTAATAGACTGATGACAAGTCTGGATAAGGAGTATAAAAGACCCTTATAATTATTTCAATTTTTGACTTGGATTAATGTTTTGTTATATACACATTAATTTTTGTTTCATGAAATGAGTGATGTACTTGTTAACAACCTTTTGTATTGTATATTTTCACTGTGAAATCTTTGTTGACTGTTGGTGGGACATTATGTTGATTATTGTTCCTCGCCAACGTAGCTGATATTCTAAAGGGATATTAATTTATTTTTTTCATTCCATTTATAATAATAATAATAATAATAATAATAACAATAATAATTACAATAATAATTACAATAATAATGTAGTTGTGTATATATATATAGCGTTTTTTATTGAGATTTGGTGAATTATGTTTTTATGAACATTACATTTTCAATGTCTTTCTAATACTTTGTGGCCATTAAGAAATGTAATGGAGCAGTAGTGATTTATTTACATGAAAATTTAATCCATTTATTTATTTTTTATACCTTTCTTTCCAAGTATAAAAGTAATGTAAAAGATACTTTTTTATTTTAAATTATGAAATGGTATGGGAGTTCATACCCTTGCTGTAAGTTAATTGATATCTGAATAAGAATGCGAGAAGAATTTGATGATATTTTATTTAATATATGGTGGTTGTTTCTTTCAGAGTAAATACAAGGCTTTGGGCCATTGCTTTTGATTATATCAAGGAAAAATTTTGTCTTGGATTGAATTAAACTTTTTAAATAAAGTTTAATTGCTGTGAGCTTTTTATATTTGGAATGTTATCTGTTTTGCTAATGTTCATTATGTAATTGAATATTGTCAAACTTTTAAGTAGGTTGAAACTGTAAGTTAGCAGATATTTTCGTTTCAATCAACTTTTATGATGTATAATATTTCTTTGCAGTTATCGTTAATTTTTATAAATAAATAATTTATTATCAAAATCTTTTTGTTTGGATGCTTCTTTTAACTTTCTAACAGCTTGGGTGTGAAAACTATTCTATGTAAATATGAATTTTTGTTCCTCCAATTAACAAAGCATTCTGTAGCTGTGTTCTAAAAAAAAAAAGAGAAAATAATGAATCTTATATATGTTGTCAGAAAGTTAGAGGAGAATATAATTGTTTGGCTTTTCATGACTGATAAAATAAATTTGTTGATGTGGAAGTTTGTGATAGCATCTTAACTAAATAAGAAAAATATAAAGAGTAGGGGAATAAAAATTACTTATCAGAACCTAGCTACTGAATTTTTGTGGAGTAACAAATCCCATTATTTTCTTTATGTGACTGTATGCCGAGGTGTTACCTGCAATTGTTCTTTGCAGGATGAGAGATGGTCATATGTAAATGTTGAAACGTGTGATTGTGAAGTAATTTTAAGAATGACTGAATAATAGACTAGAATGCATTCTAATAAATGTATTTGTTCATTGTCTGATTGAATTATTCTTGGTATTGCTGCGAACTACTGTACATTTCCCCTACAATCATTGCCAATAACAGTGGCATAGGTTGACATAATCAAATAGGTAGACAGCCACATCAAAGGCAGACATTTTTTAAAGTGGGAATTTGCAAACAGTTGCACCTACATAGATGTGACATGGGGGGGGGGCTACCCATCAGTATTTTCAGCTTGTTGAATTCCTACAATTTTGTAAAATTTATAAATGCATATCAGTGAAAAATGTTAGTTCAAAATGTTTGTAATACTTAAATTACATTAGTTACTAACAAGGGAAAATTATTAAACAATATTTACAAATAGATAATACAAAAGATGCCTCTTGTCCATTCTACTAAATTATGTATTGATGTGTAACTACTAAAAGAATGAGAGAAGGATAGGCAAGTATCTAGGTTCATGATCCTTGAGGTTAGTTCAAGTGGTAATGTTTTGCACGTGATACATTGCGTGTGTGCGTGCACTAAAACCACGTAACCTTTAGTTAGACGGTGGAATCGTTCCGGGACCGCTTTCACATTGCTTCGGAATGGAGTCTTATCGTTTGCCCTTAGGGACTTTTCTCGTCGGATTGCATCTTCCTTTTACCCATTCAAGTTGTTATGGGCCTGAGGTTTCTTCTAGTTTCTTGGGCGAAGTACCTTTTCCACGTACGAAGGTTGCTTTTTATGTTTCGGGATTTGGCAACCCTGGTGTTCCAATCTGGCAACCGACAGCTCTATCGTAAAGTTGGATGTTTTGAGGTTATACGTACTCAGAACTTTTTGACATACGAGCGCTATTTGTGTTGTTTACAGTAACGTAAAAGATTCATCTTGGCCAAAAAATGGAATTAAATCGTGAACATTTTCGTGCGATTATTTTTTACAACTTTCGACGTGGATTAACTCAGCAACAGTGCATGGATGAACTTAATTCAATTTTTGGCGATGAAACTCCATCAAGGACCAGTGTTTATCGATGGTATGGTGAATTCAATCGTGGTCGTAGTTCACTCCAAGACGAATTTCGCAAAGGTCGTCCAAAATCAGTTGTTCCGAAAACCATTGATGTTGTGCGTGAACTGATATTGCAAGATCGTTATGTGACCAATCGTGAGATTGAGACAATCTTAGGCAATAGTGCGACCAGCATACATTCAATATTGCATGAACATTTGACTGTCAAAAAAAATTGTTCGCGTTGGATACCACACAATTTGTCAATCGCTCAAAAAAAGGCTCGTGTTGATTCGTTGCTCGTGAAAGAAATGCTCAAAAAATACGATCGCGGTGCTTCGAAACACGTCTATGAGATCGTGACAGGTGATGAATCATGGATTTACGCGTACAAGCCCGAAAGTAAACAGCAGTCGACTGTATGGGTATTTCAAGATTTGCAAAATCCAACAAAAGTTGTTCGCGCACGAAGCACTTCCAAACAGATGGTCGCCTGTTTTTTTTTCGAAAAAAAAAAACTGGACATGTCGCAACCGTACCACTAGAACAATACAGAACAGTCAATTCTGAATGGTACACAACGATTTGTTTGCCAGCTGTCTTCCAAGAAATCAGGAAAACCAACCACCGAAGACGGATCACTCTTCACCACGACAATGCGAACTCTCACACATCGGCTCAAACAACTGCATTTTTGAGCACCCAAAACATCGATTTTATGAGTCATTCGCCGTATAGTCCTGACGTGGCACCGAATGACTTCTTTTCATTACCGTACGTAAAAACAAACTGAGATGTCAACGTTTTTCGACACATGAAGCGGTTGCTGCATTCAGAATGCATGTTTTGGAGATACTTCAAATTGGCAAAAGTGCTTCGACAATTGATTCAAACGCATGCAGAAGTGTATAGATCGTCATGGTGAATAATTTGAAAAAAAAAGTGATTTTCGATGAATATTTGTTTTTGTTCTCTAATCCTGAAATATAAAAGGCAACCCTCGTAGATATCTGGCCCCAACTTTCTTCGCTTGCAAGCATAATCTCAACGATATCACGGGTTATAGTTCCAACCCGTTCTTCTAGTGACCTGTCGGCTGCCCATCTCTTGTGGACAAAGATTGTGCGCTCAGAATCATATAGAATTAGATGTATTTAGCCAAAAAACTATGTGACGTATGGAGGAGTAGTTCTGTTTGTGTGTACCAATATACGCATTCCCCAGTTTCTCCTTTCTTTATCCAAAGGAGGTATTTGCGGAAATATCCATGACCGTTGAGAAACTGTGTTAGATGAACGCAGACTTCCCAGTGATTACTCTCGATCTAAGGAGATATATGCAGGATGAGTCTATCTTCCTCTGCGTTTCCCATATGTTCTGCCAGAACTCCGTTGTGAGGGTTCTGGCATCTCTATGAGCTCGTCGGCTTCCCAACTCAGGATTCATCTGGTGGACGAGTTTCCTCTCCTGAGCAAGAAGGTGAATGGGGGTGACTACAGCTACTATCAGTATTACAGGTTCGGACACAGCTCTATAGGAGCAGGCAATTCTCAGTGCTACTTTCCTCTGTGCCGCCCTCAAGCTTTACTTGTGATGTTGCCTTGCGAGTGTATCTGCCCATATCTCCCATCCACACAGCATAATGCGTAGGCGCCGCTTGCGCGATCTTGGTCCTCCGACGTTGGCCGTAAGCTTGCTCAGCGCTACAGTCACTTGTGATGCCGTATCCGCCACCTGTCTTATAAATTCACCGAATATGAGTTTGGTGTCGAACGTGAAGCCAAGTTATTTCACGGACGGGTTTGTTCGGATAACATCAGTATCGACAATCATGAAAATCAGCGACGGAATTTCCTTTCTTGTCAAAAGGACAAGTCCTGTCTTTTCCGTAGCAAGGCCAAGCCCGTTATCCCCACCCATGTTGCGTCTCATCACCTGGTTAAGCTTCCAGTAGAGTTCTGTCATCGTGTGTGCCTGGATGAGAGCTGCGATGTCGTCGGCGTAGCCTATCAGGACAGTGACTTCTGGCATTTCCATCTGAAGTATATCGTCGTATTCCATCTGAAGTGTTTCATAAGCCTTGCTCCAGGTTGGATCCTTGCGTTACTCCCGCCGTAACGTCTCTGTTGCGGGATCCGTTATGTGTTAGGGGTGTTATATACTAGTTTCTTCTCAAGTCGTCAATGTGGATTCGTAGGATGTGGAGTAGTATCTTGAACTTCTTCTCCAGAACCATCAGTATATCCGTCCATCTAGCAGAGGTGAAATCGTTCCTCATGTCTAGTGTTGCTAAGAAAACTATTTTGCGGGAGTGGTGCTTTACGCGTGTGTCTTCAACGGATTCCACCACAACTTTGGCTGCATTCGCAGTAGATCGCCCAGTCTTGAAAGCGTATTGCCTGTCCGATAGGTTTCCGCCGACGCGAATCGCCATCAGCAGGCATGGTTTGGCAACTTGTCGAGTGGCTTCCCGGCCGTGTCGAGCAGGCAGAGGGACCTGTAGGACACTGGGAGGTGGGTCCACCCTTACCTTTGTCTACTAGGACCAACTGCTGCATTTTCCTTCGCTTAGGGAAGATACCTTCTCTTAGGCAGGTGTCATGTTCAGCAGAAGATTCGGGCATTCTCGTGCCTCTGTTTTCAGGACTACTGCTGGTATGCCAGAAGGCCCTGGGGCCTTCCTGTTCTGGAGACTGGTGGTTGCTTCTCTGTGTTCTCGTTCTTCGAAGAGCGGGATATCTGTACTATCTTCGGCGTGCTTGTCCGGTGATGTAAGCGGGTGTCTGGGAAACAATGCGTCCACAATGAGACGCATGGAATCAGCGCCGAGGTTTCCCTCCGGTGTCCGCTTCTTGAGTTTTCGGCTTACTATCTTGTAGCCCCGACCACATGGATCTCTGTCGATTGCCTCCTCAATCTTCTTCAATGCGTATCATGGGTGGACAGCAGCGCGGATTCAGGTCTTAGTCTCGCTCTTTGTGTCCGTCGTCGGAGCGTGATACAGATTTCCCTCAGCTCTGCTGTCCGCTTCTATGGTGTATTTGTGGCGGCAATGGTGTAACGGTCATCGTATCGGACTGTTATACCCAAGGTCACGGAATCAAATGCGATCGAAGCTGTGGATTTGTAAGGGCGAAAACATCCTTCGTACGCCTTCCTTCGGAGGGGAAGTAAAGTCGGCTGTCCCATGTTGGTAGATTTAATGCATGTAAAAGATCCTTAAGCCTAAATGTCGCCTCTGAGCTAAATTCAAATCGCTTGTTTCTTGTGGTCAGATGGTAGAGCGGGTCTGATGTCCTGAGTCTCGACACGTAATATAAGGCAAATTCAATTCAATTCAAAGTTCAATGGACTTGCCGTTATATAGATCGTACGTGAATATGCAAATTTACAATCACAGCCTTTCTGCTGCGGCACTATCGTTCAAGTCTATCGTTCTCAATCCCTTTACAAAATTTTTCTTACCTTGTCGGGCGCACCTTGCAAACCGTTCGGCGTGGCCGTCGTGTGAGCTTTCCCCAATTCCGGCCACGCCGTTGCCAGACCAGCCGTCGGCGAAGTCGCTTGAAACGCCGCCTTTTCTCTCCTGTCACCAAATCCACGTCCAATCTTCTTTCCTCTTGCCTCTTGGCCACACCCAGCACCAGAATCCTCGCCTCTTCTTCCTTCGCCGCTCTTGCTATGCGGCACGCCGACGCGTATTTCAAAGTCCTTATGCGTGTTGCTAACGGCGTATCGGGTTTCTGGCGTTCTTTACACACTTCTTACTAGTTTAGCTAACTGCACAGTTCTACTGACGCCTCGTATCAGCTCATAGTTCTTACTTTCGCGGCCACTATTTTGCATCGTACTAGCTATTTCACTACTTTACACAGTCTTTATGAAATTATTCTTCGCCTAGTTAATCACAGTTCAGAAGGCTGAATATTCCACAATCAATCTAATCTTTCGCATGGACAATTACTTCGCACCGTACTTTATACAAAATGGCGTCTCACAATCCTCACTGATCTAGCTCTCTACGCACATCCG